AATGAGGGTGGTGGAGATGGAGTTTGGTGGGGTGGGGTTAATTATATTATATTATAGTTAAATATTTAATTTAATATAATAATTGTGAAATATGATTAATTAATTTAAAAAAAACCTGATTTTTACAATTTTAAACATTGGGACCTGATTTTTGATTTCCTAAAAGTAAATCCCTGAACCATGAATTTTTTCCATTAATTATATACAAGTAGCATAATTCCTTAAGAACCATTTGGCTTGAATTTTATTAGCACGATCTCCTAACTTATGGAAATACTTCATGGTCTCAGTTGAGATGAGTGGATCTATTTTGCTAACGAAAGATAATGAATCCACTAACTATAATGAACACTTTGAAAACCTCGAAACAGCCTCGTCACTAGGCATTTCTTTATACTTTAATCTCTCCCTCTTCCTTCTTACCAACATTATTAATTTATTAACTCGCAAATTTATTATTTATTACCTAATTGTTAATTTAATACTAATGCATTCCAAGCAGTGGTTGCTGATTCTTCATCTTCTATAACTTGATTTTACACGAAACAAAAGAAACTCTTGGAAAAACAACGAAAGAAGAAGAGAAACCCAGATCAAGTAAGTCTGCTCTGCAGATTTTCGTCCTGTTTTTGAGTGAATAAATGGCCTTTTATTGAAATAGGAGAAGATCTTAATATTTATTTTTCTTTACCTGCTTGTTGTGTTTGAGATTTTCTATTGATTTGGAAGTGAATCTGCTTAAAGAAAAAAATTACAGTGGGTATTTGTAATTTGTTACAGTACCCAAAATATTGGGTTTTGCTGTTGTTGAAGATTTTATTTCTTTTACCCACTTTTATTGTATCAAAATGATGAATTGGTCGAACTGGTTCTTATACGCCGAAATTCAAAGATCTTTTTATTGTTTAGATCATGAAATCATATTCAAGATACAAGCATAGCAAGAATTTGGATGTACATTGTGAAGCAAATATGAAGAGCCACTTTTTATAGTCAAGAGGGTTATTGCTTTTGCATAAAAGACTGTAGGGGTACTAGATATTTTGATTTTATATCTTGGTGTTTTGTGGTCTATCGTTCTGGAATAAATTGAAGATGTCTGAAGCAGCACAAGATCAAATGGAGATTAAGTTTAGGTTGATTGATGGATCAGATATTGGCCCGAAAAATTTCCCTACGGCTACAAGCGTTGCAACCTTGAAGGAGAATATCATAGCTCAATGGCCTAAAGGTTGGTTGAATCTTTTTCTTTTCTTTACGGCAATGCTATATTCACATTGCATGCTTTGTAAGCAGGATTAGATACACGTCAAGGAAGAAAAACTAAAATCTTGTCTATTGCGATTTCCATTCATGTCGATTACTCTATACTAATAGTGCATCTATGGTTTGATGGCTGTAGTTATCGAGTTTCTATGATTATCCATGTAGTGAAGTGAAGCTTGTCATTGTGATGCGTGAATATGAACATGACGACGTTGGAAGGGGTAGTTGTAAATGGCATGTCTGTGGAGATTGGGTATTGGATGTAGCTACTGGTAATAGCATTTTACGGGTATCTCTAAAAATGTGAAACTTTATACGTGTTGATTCGACACTAGCATACATTATCCTGTTCTTCTTAAACAGGTAGAGGGAAATTAGTCTTGTAACCACCAATGTTTAAAAATGACATAAATTGAGGAGTTTGAACTTTTAGGAGTCAATTAGTTCTATAGCACCAAAGATTTAAGTATGTAAAACTGTGATTGTTGCTTCCCTACAGCAAAAAGCAGCTTCACGTAGAAGAACCCTCCTCCCCGGCCTCAGGGCACATAAAAAACAAAGAAAAGAAACGAATTGCTTGCAGTCTAAACTCGGGTTCTAACTTTCTGATCCTTATGGCATTACCTCTGCCTTGGGAAGTATATTATGGCATAACTATTTTTGTTACTTTTGTGGTTTTTTAGCATTTTTTTTATGTTTAAGTTATTCATCCGAGCGTGCTCTTTCGAGCAGAGAAAGAAAATGGTCCACGGACAGTCAAAGACATCAAACTAATTAGCGCGGGAAGAATATTAGACAACAACAGAACTATTGAGGAGTGTAGAAGCCCATTATACGACATTCCAGGAGTAGTCATGACCATGCATGTTGTGGTTCAATCACCAGCAACGGAAGGTTCAATTTAACTCATTTGTAATCATATACATTGAACTGGATTATTTGCTTTTTTTTTATATAGAAAAAATCATGACCATTTTCATTATACAATCCTTGACCGATTAAGATGAGATCACAGATGACATATCATTATACTTTTTTTTTTTTCATTGTGTCTCCATTTTCCTTTTTACTGCTTGATCATTAAGCTTTAGCTTATTAAAGCAAGGTAATCTTCTTTGACATAACAGTAAAGAAGTCGCTGAGTGACTCGAAGCAGAATAAATGTGTCTGCATTATATTATGAGACAGTTCCAGAACCAAAATTATCGACATTTGCAGGTTTGTAAATGTTGGTCCTCTACTCCATTTACTTGTATAGATGAAAGACGGATCTAATTTTCTTTGTGTTAGTCGTTCTTGTGCAGATATGGTACAGTCTGAGGTTAATTGGTGAGGTGTTGTAGTCTTGGCAAATCATATCTTGCTCTAGGTTCAGGTGTTCATGTAGTCAGTCAATTTCACATCCATATATGTTTTTTTTTTTTTAAATTCTATTGCTGCATTCTTGAATTGTAACTCTTCAATTGAAAATCTATGTCTTGGTTTGGAATAAATCAAATCACAGTTGCAGAATCAGAATTATTGGTTCTATTGAAGTCTTCAGTTCCTGTTTAGTTTTGCTAAAAATCAAAATTCTAGTAGATTTTGTTAGAAGTTGATGAAATGTGTGGTTGTAAAGTTAATAAAATCGTGGGTCCATAAATGTGATTGAAAATGAGTTCGAGAAAAAAATATATTTTCAAAAAATGAGGCCAAACTGTTGCTTATTGATTTGGTTTCAAGATTTTCTTGATCAAGTATGAAGAGTTCCTTGTGAAGAGCTATAAATCAAGAAACTGTGGTGTTAAAACTCAAGTTATGCAACCTTTTTTTCACAGGTATAAAAGCTACTTATTTGGACAATAAAGTAAGTAATAGCTAAACATGCATTTAATTGGCTCACTATCGGGAGTATGGATTGCTTGACCTACCACGACGACTTCGTGCCCTTGTACAAATTCACTGATGTGGACTTCCTTATATGAGAGAAGACATTAGTTTGTGTTTTACTTTGCTTTCTTTGTATAAGAAGTAGTGCTTTCCCATTTGTTTTATTCTTATATATGTTTGGTTGTTTTATTTTTTGGAGGTCATGTTTATGCTTCAATTTCTTTTATTCTTGTGAGTTTGATTTTATATGCGGTCGGGGCATTCTAACCCTATTAGCCTTCCTTGGTGGAATTTAAGAACTCACCGAGGTTGTGTTGATTTAAAAAGAAAAAAGGAAAAAAAAAAAAAAACAAGGAAATTGGCGCATTGAAGGACTGTCTCCATAGAAAGAGGCCATCACTTGCATTTTTCATTTTTTCTTGGAGGGTAGGCAAGAAATCTAGTATAAAACGTGGGCATTACCACCTTTTTGACAATAAAATATTCTAAACTTGGTATTTAATAAAGTGAGGAAAGCATCTTTTATTTGCAAAATAACTAATTCTAAACTTGGTATTTGATAAACTTAGTTAGCTTGTGAGTTAGCCTTTTATCATCCAAATTCCAACTTCGATTGCTTTCCACTTCGCTTGGCCTTTAATCAAACTATACAACGAGCTCAAGCTACTATCAAGGTCGGTCGACAAAATACATGAGACCTAACACTTACTTTTACTAATTAGCTTGTCCTCTTCTAATTATTAGTAGAAAATTATTCAAACAAATTTAAGGGCTTGTTTGGTACAGATTCTCATTTTCTACAGTAAATCAATTATCATTTTCAACCAAACATTCATCAATAAAATAATATTTTCCATCACATCAATATTTTTTTATTCTTTTTCAATCACACATTTCCCATAATATTACTATTCAAAAATCAATTTTTCCCCCAAAAATTCCTACCAAACACACTCGAAAAGTAACTTCTTAATTTCAAAAATCACTTTTAACTTCTAAAAAACTCGAGTCTTGATCATAGTGCTAAGCTCTGTCTAGTTTTGATAAAAAAATAAATTTTTAGTGAATTTTGATAAAAATTAATGAAACGTGTGATTAAAAAATTGCAAATTCCATGAAATTTGTGTTAAAATTAATTATTGATTAAAACTAAAATTTTAAATTGCTTTTTTTACCTGAACCAAACATGGACTTATCATTTTAAAGAACATTACTTGATAAGAGAGCAAAGGGTGTCAAACATGAGAAGATTAATGAGATACCATGTGATGATTGTATATCTTGAAACACACAGCATTCACGCACGGCCACGTGTATGAACAAATCGTTGTACCAACTTTACCATACACTCTCCTGTAACCCAAACAATTCCTCCCGCTCCCTTTCACTATATCCCGAACACTCTATTTTAGCTTCACAAATCTTCAAGAACCTGCCAGAATTCTCCCCGCTTTATTAATTCTTACTCAAATGTTTTTTTCTGTAGACAAATTCTCCCTTTAATCTCAAACTCCAGCGGAACCCAGCTTTTTAAATCCCCTGAAACGCAGAGAGAACTGATAAAAATCTTTTAGCAATGGCTGCAACGACGGCGTTTGCTGGCGCTCAGAGTGTTTCACCGTCTAATGGTATGAATAGAGCTGCCTTGTTTTACCAGCCTCCGGTGTCTGTGAACTTCTCAGCGAAACCTGGAGATCTAAAAACCCTAAATTCCTTAACATTGAAGCGAAGGGATGCGTGTTTCACCCGGAAATCTGATAAAGTCGGCCGGAATTTGGGGTCATTTGTTGTTCGATGTGATGCATCGACTGGAAGAGTAAGTTTAGTATTGCTTTTTTGCCTAGAATTTTACTCTACTTAATTTGTTGTAATTCAATGTTCTGGGTTATTTTCTTTATAGCAGATTACACAGCAAGAATTCACGGAAATGGCGTGGCAAGCAATTGTATCGTCACCGGAAGTGGCCAAAGAAAACAAACATCAGATAGTGGAGACGGAGCATTTAATGAAAGCTCTTTTGGAGCAGAAGAATGGGCTTGCTCGCCGGATATTCTCTAAGGCTGGTGTGGACAATACTCGACTTCTTGAAGCTACGGAAAAGTACATTCAACGGCAGCCGAAGGTAGTTTTCTAAGTTCATTATGGCATTAGTTTTCGAGAAAAATTGTGGCTCTCCAGTTGCTTGAATATGAAATTGATTTTATCTTTGAAAATTGTTGTTTCTTTCAGTTGGGATGGATTTGGTAGTTGTTTAAATGTGTTTTAAGTCTGATCTTGCTATAAGAGAACTGTATTCGTGTGATTGTTATTTGTCAAAGAAAATGTGTCGTCTTTGGCATTGTAATTAAGGTTAAAATGCTTTGTGCAGTTGTTTTGTTGCTCCAGACATTATAAAAAAGAAATTGTCTAGTACTAAGCTGCTCTTAAGTTTAGAAGTTGGGCACAAAATGGCATATGGAACTGAAATTTTCTTTACAAGCTAGCAGCTCTCAGTTTGAGTGTTATTTCTGGTAGCAGAATGGAGGAATCAGAAATTTTGAAATTGTTCTCTGTCATACATGAGATCATCAATCAATTCTTTGCATAGGATGTTGATTTTTTTTGATGAATCTGTAAGTTCAATTTCTACCTCCCATCTGCATAATTGATCTAACTATATTTTTTGGCCTGTTAATCCGTGGAAAAATACCAGGTTCTAGGTGAGTCAGCTGGATCAATGTTAGGAAGAGATCTAGAAGGGCTTCTACAGCGAGCCAGGGAGTTCAAAAAAGACTATGGTGATTCTTTTGTGTCAGTAGAGCATTTAGTGCTAGGCTTTGCACAAGATAACCGGTTTGGGAAACAAGTGTTAAAAGATTTTCAAATTTCTCTGAAAACTCTGAAAGATGCTATTCAGTCCATAAGGGGACGCCAAACAGTTATTGACCAAGGTAACAACTGTTTTGCTTGTTCGGGCTGATACTCTGGTGATGTGTATTTCCATAATTAATGCATTCAGGGAATAATTGATGTGTTTTGACTCATGAGATGGAATCTGTCCTCGTGTTGTTCTTATTGTTTTGTTTTTTTTCCCCATTATGATATATATTATATATACTTCACTCGCATGATTAAGAGGCTGTGACTGAGTATGAACAATGTTGCTTTGATTGCCCTTAGGAAGGCTGTGTGGTGTGACCATGTCACATGTCCGCTATGCACTTCATTGTGACGTGCGAAATTTGTCGAATCTCATATGTTGTTCAAAAATGTTAGTTGATACTTCTATTTCATAGTTCTCCTGGGTCTTGTTTGGCTCGGCTGAGGATAGTTTAACAATGATTAGTTGAATTAGAAATTACTGTTATTTATTCACACAAGCTGCTGAGATTTTTTGACATTGCTCTCAAAATCAGAAATTCTAATTTTTGATTTACACCAGACATAAAACAGAGCAAATTATTTAATCTCAATCTATAACTAGCCTGTCTTTAACCCTGAGGGGTTGCTCAATTGGTCAGGCCTTGGGTTTGCTCCTCAATGGTCACCAGTTCGAGTCCCCTCAGGGCCACTGAGGTGAGTACCCGGCCGTAAACTTCAGGGTCCCGTGGAATTAGTTGAGGTGCGCGCAAGCTGGCCCGGACATCCA